GCAGGAATTTTGTCCAGACACTGCAGTTCTGTTCCCTTCAGACTGTTTATGATGACGAGCAACAAATGCCTTAAAACAAAGTGTTGGCTGGGCTACAAGTAAGCTTGGGTGGAGAAGGTGGGCAGGGGCATTAGAAACAGGGAGAATTGTAAAACGAACAGAACAGACTACACGTGTATCAAGTTCCTCATGTATAAACCAGTTTCCAGCCCGGAAAAGCTGCATAAGAACAATTCCTATAGATTCATCCAAATAGCTCCTCTACATAAATTTGAGCCATGTCTTTCAGAACCCACAGCAGCTTAAAGGATTGAAGGGTCAAGGCTGGTGAGGGTTAGGTGTCGTCGTCCCCCGCCCAATGGTTCATGGATTCAGCAAGCCTTGGTTTTGGCTAAACAACGTTACAGAGCTCCACTTTTAGAAGTGTCTCTGTGTGTTCTTTGTGGAGAAGCAAGGCTTGTCCTTGATACAGACACTGCTCATCCTGAGCACTCTGGGTGTGCAGAATAATGCAGCCACACATGAAATTCTTATCACCCAACGTGGAAGAACTTCCCACTCCACCACTACAACGGTCATAAAATTGCTGTTGATCAATATATAACTGTCAACATGCATTATCAGCTCCACAACCAGTGAAAAGGCAATGCTGAACATCAACACTGGACAACACGGGGAGGAAAGCTGGGAATGGGCCTCAGGGTACAATACACCACAGCACATTTCCCCAAGTGCAGATGTGCAGAGGAATAGCAGGGCAGCAGCAAAAGGAAAGACAGGACACCGCAGACCTGTGGGAAGTGAGCAGGCACCAGGATGTTTTTGGAAGCAGAAACAGAGCTCATCTCAAAGGTGAGGACATCAATGACATCAAAGTTAACAGCTGTGTGCATGTTCTCATGTGGCATTTATTGTGGCATTAAATAGTATGGACACAGAAGGTATTGACACCCAAATGAGATTCACACAGACAGATAGAAAAGGGTCACAAACAACATACAGAAAGCATGATTTTAGGCAGACAAAGAACAAAAATATTACCTAAAGATGTTGTCCTCACTCCAGAAGAGGCAGCCAGGCCTTGCAAGTAAGAAGGTCTGCTGGAAAGAGTTCTCAACAGTCTGCCACAAAAATGGGAGAGTGAGGAAGGGAAAGAAGAAATAAAAAGTGTTCCAGACATGGGCTATTACAAATACCTATCAATTTTCACAACATGTATTTCCTAACTCGTACTATATAGTTTCTCCAGCCCATGTTCAGCTGAAGGAAGTTTCAGAGTTCATACCTGTAATCTGGGGACAGTGGGAGGAGGGTTACTTTTTCCTAAGCACATTTCTCCCCCTCTCTCAGGCTTATGCTGCATAATTGCAGCTAAAGCGTAGGTTTTATTGCTAGCATTTAGAAGAGTAAGTGCTCACTGACACGCAAGATGGGAAAGGTTCCTCCCCTGGGGAACAGAACACAGAGACTGATTAAGCGACCGGTGGGTATTTAAGAACATAAAAAATATTGGCAGATCAGGGCTGCAGCTCTCACTGAACAGGAGCCGGCGCAGGAACAGAGCGCGCCTGCTGCTTTCCAGCAGGGTGTACCATTGGTGAAGAATAAGGCTTTAAGCTTAGGATTTTTAGACACTTTTTAATAGCAAGAAGGTTGAAAAGTAATTACATTTGCTCCTCCAGAGGCACGAATCAGGGGCTCTTGTTCTGTCAGACATGAGAAGCAAACCTGGTGGTCCATGTCCCATCCTGCCTCCCTCCCAAATCCTTCTGTAGAGACTGACGACCAGCATAGAATTTGCAGTAGCCACCTGGTTTTAAGAACCCATTTACAGTTAACAGAAATTAGCATAAATATATTGACTGATTGGATTATTTTAACACTATAAAGACAAAACCGAGCAAATGAGGCAAAACTACATGAAACACCAGTAGCAAAGCCTGGTCTAGACAGCACAGGTTTGCTTTCAGTCCTATAGTCAAGACCACTGTACCATGTTATTTCTTCAATTTGATTAATATTACTGTGGTGATATTAAGAGTATATGCAGAAAGAAAGAAACAATTAGGATTTCTGGTTTTTAAAGAGCAATAGCAGTGTCCACACATGGAAATCTTTTAAAAGGTTTCAAAACAGCACAAAAGAATAAATACATGACAAAACTATGGAAATAATGTAAAAACTGCAGAAATATAAGGTATAACCCTTCCTGCACTGATGACAAATTCCTTTATTTGGTACAAAAAATAGAAAATATATACTTAAAAATATTTTTTAACACTATTCAGACTTCTAAAGTTATAACCATTTTTTTTAAGAGCTATGCAGCAAAATGTCATAAACAACTTCATACTAACATAATGAGGATATTTTTCAAGTAAATGCCAATAGCTAAAGATAACTAAAATGATGCTACAAATCATTTCAGTTGTATTTGATTAGGACATCATTCTACTACCAAATAAGATAATGGAAACTGTTTCTAGAAGTTTACTGAAATTACACGTTCCCACATGTAGAGATCAAATCTAGGACTGAAAAATGTAACAATGAGGGTATCCATCATAGAGTCATATCAATTCTTTTCAAAGCAGTCTTGTCCTCCAAACTGTCAACACAACAAAGAAGAAAAATACCCACTTCTTTCTGCAGCTCAAGATAGCCTTGGGAACACCTCATTATAGCAATGAGCTGCATTGCTAGTGGGTCACACTGTGTCCTAACACAGTCCTTTAGTCTTCATCTTCATTTGTACTGCAAAGAAAAAGCAATGGATTTGTCTTTGAAGACACCTCTAAGTAATTTCCCTTCCCATCAGTATCTTCTGAAAGTCTGTCAGGTTCAGATACATGGTTTTCTTCTTGTTCCAGTAAAATGCAGCCTGGAGTAGCCAATCCTTCAGGCTGTTCTGAAAGTCTAATTGCAGTGTGCATTTGCTTTTCTAATTCCTCTATCAATTTTCCAGGAGGAGACATAGATTGCAAAGAAACCTTTGATTTTTCATCACTAACCTCAGACGTCGAAGTGTTTGTGCCCTGCCTTAATCCATTACAGTCAGTAAGTGGAGCTGTCCTCTCCTCTTGAAGCGCGTCTTGTACAGAATTTATTTCCCCATCTTCACTGGTTGAGGACTCTGGCTCATCTGAATCAGAGCCTTCTGTCTCAGATGAAGTACTGCTTGATTCTTCAGAGTCACTTGTCTCCGACTCAGAGGAAGGCAGCTGTTGCCTGGAAACTCTGCCAGCAGCTTTTAACATGCTCTCTTCCTCTTGTACCAGCACTGCTGCCACTTCCAGCTCTTCTAGCTCAAATCCTATGTGGGACTTAGTGAGCGTGGTTTTTTGCAAGGATTCAGAGAGTGCAGCCAACTTTTTTGACCTTTAACAAAGAACAAGATACAGACCTTACAAACAGAACTTTCCCATCTGATAACAAGAACACATATCTTAAACATTCCTACTATTTGCTTAGTTTGCGGACAACTTTCTCCTTCAATTATGATTGTAAAAGTAGATGCTACAGAGGGAGAGGGGGGAGATCAAACATATTCATAATTACTATTATTTTGGTTAACCTTCTCCCACAAGGCTAGACCATACCCCACTGAAAGTCTATGGTGACACTTTCAGAAAAGATAGTGCTTCTTTGATGTTTCAGCACTGCACAGTAAGGGAAAACAGACCTTTTCAGGATTGCTGCTAGCAGCAAATTCTGCAGTACTTGGCTTGCTGGATTAAGTTTATATGCAGCAAAATCATTTTGGTTTACTACCCTTCCACATACATCTGTTAAATGCAGATGAACTGATAGAATATAGCTGATCAGGTCCATCACGGTGATATACCCTCCTCCTTTTAAAGCTAGCTTGGTGCACCCATGGTAACAGGAGATGTTCAGTGCTGCCTGTAGATGTGCTTTATCTTTCACTTACAAGTCAGCTGAAAAACAATTCATTTAGATAAACACCTCTGATACATGAGGCATGCTACGTCAGCTTCCAATCTTTGGTACAGCCATAACCATTTCCTCAAGTGTTTTGAAGTCAGCACATGCTTTACCAGAAATGTACATCATGGATTTATAAATAGAGAGAACAAGAAGTAAGACAGTGCCTTGAAATGAGGGGGAGGGCAGGGTAAAGGGGGAGGGTAAAGGGAAAAGGAGTATAAAATAACAAACATACATCCTGTTTCTTGTTGTAGAGTTTTGCCTCAGACTATCAATCAACTTTTCACCACTTCCTGCAACAGCAGGTCTACTATAAATCCTGCAGTAACTGACTGGGTTTCATTTCCTCTGCCAAACCTGCTAACCTGCAAGGCATGACACACTGACACTGGAGCAAGTAGCTGATAATGTAATACATGACTCCTGCGAGGCAAAAGTTAAAGTGCTTGTTCTCTCAGTTGAATGATTTTAAAGATCTTTATATTCTATTTCCCAGGGGGCATAATTACTCAGTATAACATAGACACATCATTTTTTTTTCCTCCTAAAGGAATTGTATTTAAAAGTGGGGGAAGGGAAAGTCAATGCAGATTCTTTTTTACACAGACAGCATAACATTCAAAAGCTAAACTTGGAATAAAACATACTAAGCTTCCTTAGTCCAACCCACAGACTTAGAAAACTAAGAAGTAAGTGTTTACCAGAAGTAACTGAAGCAACAAAGAAAATCTTCTATTTCTAGGATTTTTAAATCTGAAACTAGAAATTAAATCACAACATTATATCCCAGCAGCCTCCAATATAAACATGGGTACCAAATCCTAAAAAGTTGCTTACTTAACACTGTTCTAGTTTGTTCTGTTTGATGAGACATTTCCATTTTATTTTTGTCAAGAACTTGAAATTTTTCTTCAAAAGTTACAGAGAATTTGAGAAACTGCCAACCTAATTGGGAACACAGAACGCATTCTCCCTGTTCCATACATGAAAAGAAAAGCCAAGTGATAAACAGAAGGTTCATGAAGCCCTGCAGTAGGTGGTAACAGAGTAAGAGGCTTGCGGGGAAAGTTGCTTCTTGAACACACTGGTGAGAAGCTGGTATCTACCCCGAGTCACACGTTTATATCCCTTTCAGAAAGCATTTTGCTTTGCTTTTAAAACACTATCTTTCCTTCTTCTAATTATACCTATGCATGTTCTCTGGAGGGAAGGGATGCCATCCAGAGGGACATGGACAGGCTGGAGAAGTGGGCCAGTGTCAATTTCATGAAGTTCAACAAGGCCAAGTGCAAGGTCCTGCATGTGGCTCATGGCAATCCCAAGCACAAATACAGGATGGGGGGAGAATGGATTGAGAGCAGCCCTGAGGAGAAGGACTTAGGGGTGTTGGTTGAGAAAGTAGCTCAGCATGAGCAGGCAGTGCGCTTGCAGCCCAGAAACCAACCATGTCCTGGCTGCACCAAAAGGGGTGTGAGCAGCAGGTCAAGGAAGGGAAGTCTCCTCCTCTACCATGTTCTCGTGAGACACCACCTGCAGTCCTGCATCCAGCTCTGGACTTGCCCCAATATAGGTAGGACATGGACCTGCTGGAGCAAGTCCAGAGGAGGCCGTGAAGATAAGGGGGCTGGAGCACCTCTGCTCTGGAGACAGGCTGAGATAGCCAGACTTGTTCAGCCTGGAGAAGAGAAGGCTCCTGGGAGAACTGAAAGCAGCTCCCAGTGCCTAAAAGGGCCAACAAGAAAGCTGGAAAGGGACATTTTACACGGGCCCGTAGGGACAGGACAAAGGGGAATGACTTTAAACTAAAAGATGGGAGATTTAGATTAGATATTAGGCAGAAGTTCTTCCCTGTGAGGGTGGTGAGGTGCTGGCACAGATTGTCCAGAGAAGCTGTGGCTGCCCCATCCATGGCAGTGTTCAAGGCCAGGTTGGACGAGGCTTGGAGCAATCTGGTCTAGTGGAAGGTGTTATGGAAGGTGCCCCCACTCGTGACAGGGGGGGTTGGAACTAGATGGTTTCTAAAGTATCTTCTAACCCAAACCATTCTGTGATTCTATGTGTGTGTGCATGCATCCCCTTCCCCTGTGAGAGCTGTTAATAATATGAAAGTACAACCCTTTTTACTGTCCTATTGCCTGACTGTTCACAAGTACACAATTGAGCTTTAAAATCTACATGTGTCTTGTGACAGAGAACAATGGTTTATACCCATTTTATAGGTAGTTCTCTTTAATTTCATTGAGCAACTAACTGCAGGCACAACAATTTCCTCTGGTGATACATCTTCAGCTCCAGCCACCTCAATCTCACCTACCCATTTTACTACTGTCATTATAGATAGCAAATAAACTTTGAAAGTGCTGTTTGTCCTCTCACCTCTTCTGTCACGTCTGTCACTTTGTTTCCAAAGCCTCTGTGTATTTTTTGAATTTTACCTATTTCTGATTTTTCATTAATACTTTTTCCTGCCAGATATTCTCAGTCCTTGAAATCATTCCCTTAAAATCCTCCCCTCCTCTTTTACTGTTCTCTTATAACGCAGTTAACATGTTAGATATAGAAACATGTCACATAACTGAATCAAGTATTAAGGAGATGTACGGCATCATGTACTTTCTGGCACTAATAAATACTTCACTGTGCTCCATTTTACTTAATGCCTAGTGTTAAGGAAGAAAACGTACAGTGATAGACTGATTTGACTCAACACACATTATGTTACTAAATTAGATGTAGTCCTACTGACAGATAAAAGAATGGCCTCTCTAAAGCAGCAAGTGTTTCATCACTCTATACACAAATGGGGTTTTATCAATGAGTTCAAAGAGAAGAAGTGAAAAGGCTGGAGCCTAACAGATACAGACAGACACCAGTCCTACTGGGTAACTGTAAAACTGCAAAAGGAATTCTTAGCCTGAAAACCTAGGGTTAATTCCTTTGGAGTGACCAAAATACACATCAAAACAATGACAATAATTGATTTCACAAACCAACTGTGGCTTCAAGTTTCACGTTTAGTCCTTTTTCCCCAAGGTTTTGATAGAACTACTGAGAGAGGACATGCTTTTTATCTTTACAAAGGATTACAGAAAAAAAAAGCCATTGATTAAACAGCCTGTTCTTCCCTTCTAACAATCACAGAACAAGCAGATACTCTGCTTGGATAAGTAAATGCCTGCAAAGGCCAACAATTCCATCTGTCCTCTTAACCTCCGCAACTGCCTTACTTCAGCTTTCTCATGCCGTGGTCCCATGGAGCAGTGTGACTGCCAAAACCATGCACAAGGATACAGTCCATGAATTACCAGCCAGCATGTTTCAGGACAGGGGAAGTGGGGCAGACCTTCTTTGTACACTATCAATGACCACGTTAGGTCAACCACAGTAGGAATCTTCTAATAGATAATTTGAGAAACAGAATATTTTACTAATTTTCTTAGCTCTAAGCCACATCAGGTATTTGATTTAAATAGCATGAAAAAGTCTCCTTTTCAGTTACTCAGATTTCTTAGTAGGCTACATGTTTCTTCCCAACTTTCACTCTGGCCATTAAGTCTCTTCCAGAGCTTTCATTGCAATACAAGAAACAAAACTGTCATGCTCTTGACAAATTTATACCTAAAAGCAGAAAATCCCACTCCCCAACTTTCAAACCTTCTATTAAAAAGGGGGAAAAAAAAAAAGAGGACTTGAAGAACAGCTTGCTTTCCCTCCCCTGCTTTCCTCTAACTAACAGAATTAGAATTAGCTATCTGTCCTTCTTGTTTAAGGCAATTACCCAATACCAAGGAAAACTGAGTTTCAGGAATGCATTTTCATTTCAGCCTTAAGAAAAGGTGGCAGCACTTTCTGGACAGAAAACAAGGCAAACAACATAAAAATCAGAACATGGAAATGCTTTCAACACGAGACTATGGGTCTCTGAGCTAATCATTTTTCTAGCTGAAAGACAGGCAACAATTGAGGAAACAAAAATGAGACATCAGAAATGAGATATCATGTATTAGAGACTTCAGTAAACATGTCCTGCTGTTTCCAAAATCTTTTGAGGAGTGTTTTAGAGATTAGACAGCAAATACTGCAATTTTTCAAGTATGATTAATGGAATCGCATGATTACTTTCAGACATGCTCATTCAGTAGGCACATGTGTGGTAATGATACTGCATTATTATGGTGCTAATGTTCTTACACAAACATGCATAATAAGCTTTAAAGGTGCTACACATGATAATTATTAGTTATCACGATATCAGTTGCTTAAGGAAAATGTTTAATTACAGGTTAAACTGAGCAGATGCATGTTTTGTTTAATGTTTAACTTTGAGGAACAGATAACAACAGCATCTCAGGGCTTGTCCAGGTAGTCTGGAATTTAGATTTCAAAACAGGACTACTGTAGGCCTTGTCTAGGCACAGGAGAGTCTCTCC